AGACGAAGAAGCGACGAAGGGCTGATTCTCTTTTCTATTACTTTCTTAATACATTTTTGTATCCGCATACATTTGACGTTATTCGTTCGTGTCGCGCGTATTTATGTATGATAAAGGTTATATTGCCCAAGCTTGAGGTAATCGGCGACACAGCGAGTGGATCTGCGGTTTGTACGACGGAACAACGTTAGCTGACCTACAAATCAACGCCTGGTGATATTCACACTGTCTGCTAGTCGCCATAGTCCCGATTTAGCAATATTTGCTGGCAGCATAATTACTCAACTAGGGCGCACTGAAGATGCTTGAGGGCACGAACCAGAAATACAATCAATTATTATTGTTGTGGGGTAAAGCGACCTGAGGAACCAACAAAGCAGTTCCTCCTCCACAACAATTTAATTTGGTGCCACGAGCCGGGAAACAAACAGCTGAAGCAAGTAACCCGGAACAAACAGCTGAAGCACGCAATGGGGACAAACAGCTATAATGTCTTCAAGCATCAACAGAAGTGCCAACCAAGTCAAGAAAAAGCTGCTGAAACTCCTCAAAGAAATCAAACAGTTAGAGCCTCTTCATGTAAGTGAAGGTTTATCAACTGATGAAAAATGCTATCGGTATGAAGCATACAGTAGAATAATAGAAGAAAAACTGCGGCGATTAGACCAGCACGTGAGTACACTGGAAAGGTTTATGATCGGTGGCTAGAATTTCTAACCAGTCTACCACTGAACCAACGAGAAGACGAAGAAAGGAAATTCGAAGATATGACAAACGACGACGCAGGTTTGCTAAAGTTGATTGAAGATGGGAAAGAAGCTAAGATCACTTTAGCAATGACCAAAGAAGATAATGACACGATAATTCAAAGGTTGAAGCAATTAAACGGCAGGACATCAACGTCGGAAATGTCGCAGGAAAATGCGCATCCGGTTAGTGGTACAGTGGGACCGACTTACAGAGAAGCAATGGTGAAGCTATCAAGATTGTCTTTAAGAGAATTCAACGGTGATCCAAAGTACTTGCGAGAATTTTGGAGTGGATTCGAGCTGGAGTCCATAATCAAAGCCTGCCAGATATTCAAAAGCTAAATTAAAGGTGCTGCACTACAGGCGTTTGAAGGTTACGAAGTTTCCCCAGACAATTATCAAATAATTCGCGAAATTCTGGTCAAAAAGTTCGGGGATCCAATGATATTCAAAAGATCTTTATACAGTGAACTCAAATCAATAAAAAGAAATGATGGTGACTTAAAATCAACGGTGGAATCAATTGAAAGATTTCTGCGGCATCTTGCTGCACTCAACGAAGATCTTGAGCATCCAAACATAGAGATAGCTATTGAAGAAAAGCTTCCTGTTTGGGCTCTAAACGAAGTTTATCAGCGAAAGGAAAATGAGACGGTGTGGTCAGTGAAGAAATTGCGTGACTGCTTGAAGAAGATAGTTAAGCGCAAAGAAGATGTATCCAGAATTCAATCAACTGAATCCAAACACGACGAGCGAAGATTCACAAGTGGAAGAATCAGTCAATCACGCAGAAGCTCAGTATTCAACGAGACATCAATACTATCAGCAATTAAACGAAGTGCTAAATCAAACCTTCGGGAATCAAAATTCCAGCAAGGAAAAACTAGAAGTGAAGATTCTTCAGGCGAAAATAGGACAACGGAAATCATTGGGATAATCAATGTCAAAATTATTCAACGGTAGCAGAGCGGACTACTCATTTGCCTGAGTTGAAAGCATGTTTCAATTGTTTTAAAAATGGGCATTTTACTCAGGAATGCAGAGCAAGGAAAAAACAATGCTTTCATTGCCGATTAAGTCATAATAGTGCTCTGTGTGAATCATTCAATCATGGAAGGGAGTTAAAACAAATGAAAACGAATTTTGTAGCAGAGTTAGAAACGAGAAGGAATGAACAAACAATATCAAATAATGCAATAGCCGAATGTGGAGCACAAAACAAGAGTGTGTTACTTTTGTGCAAAGAAGTAACCCTAATAAATCCAGAAGTTCCGAGAAAAAGAATTAGAGCTGTAGCATTTTTTGACGCTGGCTCACAACTTTCTTTTATTACAAGCAAATTAGCGGAACGTCTTGGTCTTCGAGGTGAAAAAGAAGAGGAATTAAACATAGCTTCATTCGGTTGCAAAAGTCCATCTACTTGTCGGGTGAAGAAAGCGAAAGTGGGAATTGAAACAACGGATAAAGGCGTCTGTTTGCTCGATGTAAATACAATCGATTGTTTGACTAATAAATTGCAAATAATTTGTATCAGCGACGAAGAAGCAGACAAAGTAGCTTGGAAAACTCAACTTTGTGGGTTACAACAGAAGTGGGAAGAACCAGAGTTACTTGTGGGTGCGGATTTCTTCTTTAAATTCATTGAACCTAACAAATCTCGTAAAATGCGATCAGGTTTTCACTTGTTGCATACTAAAGTTGGATTAATGCTGTCTGGAAGTGGGCACATAAAAGGAAAATCAAGATCAATGAAAACGCAGTCAGAAAGTGTGTTTGGGTTTAACACAGTCAAGCTAGAAAACGAAGTGGAGAATTTCTGGAAACTAGAGCTGATTGGGATCAACGAATCTCCCCAAGAAAACGACGATGACACGGCTGTCAAATTGTTTGAACGATCGATAACAAAAATAGGAGATCGGTACCAAATTAGATGGCCGTGGAAGTTTGAACAAGTTCAACTAAATAGCCATTACGGAATGTGCTACGGACGACTAAGATCAGTGATCAGGTGGCTAAAGAATCATCCAGCTTTACTCGAGAAGTATTCTGAAATGTTTCAAGACCAGTTGACCAAAGGAATAGTTGAAGAAGTAACAAATGAGATGGACGAGCAAGGCATCATTCACTATCTTCCTCACCACAACAAAGCTGAGAGTTGTTTTCGACGCCTCCGCACGAGTTGGTGATGATCGCAGTCTTAATGACATCTTATACCGTGGTCCAGTTACTCTACCTGAGCTAGTAGGAATATTACTTCGGTTCAGAGTGATGGAAATAGCTATTGTTTGCGATGTTGAAAAAGCGTTCTTGCAACTGGAGCTCAAACAAGAAGATCGAAATTGTACTCGCTTTTTATGGGTACGGGATTACAATAAACCCGTAACAGAGGATAACATCGTTAAGTTTCGATTTACCCGTGTAACCATTCGGAATCATTTCCTCACCGTTTCTATTGACGGCAACGTTACACCATCATTTGAAGCAAGTCAACACTCCAACTAAGCCC